CCAGTATCATTAATTGTGTCATTTGAGCCAGTATCATTAATTGTGTCGTTCAAATGAACAAGAAAGATGGGATTAGTACTTGTAAAAAAAAAATGATGGTGACAGGACGTGTTAAGTTGTTGAGGTTTGTTAACAGAAATGTCTAATTCTATGGGATACTGAGGCAGAATTATGGGCATGTAATGCAATCTAGATCCCGCCCAACACGGAAATATTTTAAAAATATTGCTGAAATATTGTCAAAAACATTTTAACAATATTTTAACAATATCGAAATAATATTGCTGCAATAGTTTGTTGTCCGCCCCCTGACAATATTGCAGCAATATTGTCAAGGTAATATTGATTTTATATTTTAAAAATATTTACTTGCGATGAGGTTATCATGTTCCATATCCGTGTGCGCGCACTCTAGGAGACGTCTTTGGTACTAATTTTCTTTCTAATGTACACATAACATGCGTCCAGGTTGTGGATCGTAGAGTTGTTACTGACCTTAAAATCCGCGCCGTCCTAGTCGGGATTAGAACCCACGCCTCGGGGTGGAGTTGATATCCGAAGTCCAGTATTTTACCACTAGACCAGCCAGGCTTGATGTAGATGGGCCCGTAAATTCAATCTCTTAACTATCGGAGGCCTCTGAGTCCGTAATATGTTTGTTTATTGACGGATTCTTATAATATTTTACCAGAATTTATTATTTATTATTTATTTATTATTTTTATTTCATCCTGTAATTTGTGTTTCAAATTATTTATTAATTGTACTCAACATATTCCTATTCATGTATTACAAATTTTCGTTTTTTTTAACTCTCTCTCATTTTTTTCTTTACCAAATTACTGTTTTTTATAATTGCGTCTTTTTCCAGTTTTAATTATTTGAGCTTTTTCCTAGTTTGAATTTATGTCGATGTATTTATGTTATGTTATTTATTTTTTTCCCTTCTTTTTGTCTTTTCTTCCCCCCCCCCCTTTCTCTTTTCTAGCGATTGATTTTAGTAAGTTCCGCAAAATAATTGGTAAACAGAGCAAAACCATACGCTAATTTGGCAAACATTTTGAAAATCTAGCAAAAATTTTAGCCATAATAGCATAAACTAGTAATGTTAATTTCGCAAAAGTATAGTTTGCCATTTTCGCACAATAAAATTACCACTTTTGCAAATTGTTTTGTCGTTCTCGCCACGAGGGTGGGCATTTTAGCAAAAAAAGCAAATTGCAGAAATCGCAAACCATTTTTTGCCATTTTAGCAATTAATTTTTAAATATTACAAAAATATTTATAAAATATTTTTAACATAATATTAAATAAATATTTTTAAACTAATATTTCTAAAATAATTTTAAAATATTTTGTAAATGTATTTTACAAACTGTTTTAAAAGTAATTACATAAATATATTTTGTAAATATATTTAAAATATTTTTATAAATATATTGTTACAATATTGTCATGAAATATTTTAGCAATATTGTCAACATATTTCTGCAGTGTATTTAAGGAAATATTTACATGACAATATTGTTTCAATATTGACAATATTGCTGCAATATTGCTGCAATATTTCGTGTTGGGCGGGATCTCGTGTAAGTTTTGCCGTAAGGTCGAGGTGATGGGACAGTTTTGGGGAGAGGAGGAAGGAAGGGGCTATAACGCGCCTTCGCTTCCAGTGCTGCAACCTGATGCACAAGTAGCACTCAGTAGCTCCCATTTAACCCTATAAAGTACAGACGAGTGTCAATTGGACTGCATTTTGCAATTTGGAACTATAAATTCTGGCTCATCTAAAAAACACTTATGTGCATAGGGAAACTAATGGCACATACGTTGTTTTTAAACCGGGCCAGAATTTATAGTTCCAAAGTGCAAAACGCAGTCCAATTATCCGCGGTTTTTTTTTTCTATGGCTCCCTGTGGGCTGATTGTTGAAACGTATAGACAAATCTATAGACAAAGGAGAAAAAAAGGATATGGAGGCATCCTATTGGTGGAAAGGTGATTGCAATGGACAAAGGAATTAGGTAATAGACTAACTAATGACAATCCGCGAGAGACCCATTGCTTAGTCCATCATTTACTCCCTTAGTCTACAAGAACCATATATTTCAACTAATTGGATCGATCCATACTCCTCGTTCTTCTTTGTCTATCGCTTTGTCTATCGATTTCAACAATGAGCCCGCTAACGGAGCTATATACTGCGATTCTAAAACGAATTGAGAAGATCGCAACACAAGAACATTGTAATTCTACGGGGCAAACCTCCATAAAATATCTTCCGGAAATGCTGTTTGCTCAAATAACCTCATTCCAGCGGGTAAGTTAATTCATTTTCTATTAATAATTACATCTCTGTCTAATATTTGACAAGTTTTTTAGCTGAGTCTTTTGAAATACAGCCTTTCAGATAGCTTGCTTGGCCAATTGGACTAATTTTTGAAATTAGGACTACAATCTCTGGCTCAGTTAAGAAACAACATACATGTAAAATTACTTTCCTTATGCACATAAGTGTTTTCACTGATGAGCCGGAACTTACGGTTTCGAATTGAGGCACTGGATGCGAAAAGGGCACTTCTCGATTGCGGTATTTCAGAATCTCTGTTGTGAATCAATCCCTTGAAGAAGAATTCAATGGGTGATTTTTCCAGAATTCTTTCCATAGAGAATTGCGGAATCATAAGGAATATTCAGTAAAATTTTCAGTGAAATGGATGCATTCACTTCCCTTACAACGAATGAAATATAAGATGAGACTCTGAAACACTGCAACCGAGATGTCCCCTTTTCACATTCAGTGCCTCAATAGCAAAATGTAGTCCAGTGGTTAGGCTTTTTACACCTTCATGAGTACTGACGCTACCTGAGTCCCAAAATGATGACGGTTAGATGAAGAATCTTTCTAAGCTCAATTCTGGCCCTGCCCGGCGGCTTATCTCATTACGATTGCATCGATCGAATTAATGCATGCAGGCTGTCATGCGATTTGAACTGATGTCGTTTTCCGCGTGACTCATCCGGGTTGAATTACCACGCCACTTTTGTACACTTTTTGAAGTAAAAAGCTAAAAAAAAGGAAATTGCAAATTTCTGCGGGGCTGGTGAGGTAAAACTGCTTCTTAGAATTCGTCATGGCCCTAATAGCAATTTTAGAGCATTGCAATTTTACATTAGGATCAACTGAACGACTGTAACTAAAATCAGCTCACGTTACAATTTATGTCACTTAATTTTGCGTTTTACTTACACAACGCACCACGAAATATTTAAAGGCGCTATGTCTACCACTTTGTTTGTGAAATAATAAAACTTAGAAAGAACTCGAGAGACATAAAATGGATCACATCTGGGCAAAAGGAACCAGCGCGATTACGGTGTTGGTAAAATGTTTCTTATGCATAATAATCTAAATAAACTCCCAGAAAAACGAATAGTTTTTGCTTCCCACCAAAAAATGCTTAATTTAAAAGAAAAATAATTGTGTAAATTTTAATTCTGGACAGTTATTAAGTATTTTTTTAAAAAAATAAGAAGCTGCACAATTTTGTATTTGCATCACTTTAATTGCGCTGATTTCTTTTTGCTAAACGCGATCCAAATATGCCTCTGTTACATCGCTGGTTTCATCTTTGGCAAAATTTTCTATTAAACCAATAGAAACGCCAAATCTTGCAGCGGTATCCGCATTTGCGTTGTATTACTAGGTCCGCATCCAAGGCCACCAATGCTTTTGTTTTTTTTTTTTGCCTGGTCAATGAACCGGTAAAACTGTACCTCGCCGCAACGATCGGCGGAAGAATTTCCAAACTCTCACCTGCCGCGCGCTCGCTGGGTCGATGGCCAAACATTTTCCTTGATGACGACTCACTGACCGAGGAAGTGAGAGATGATCGCTGTTGTGTAACTGTCGATGTCATTGCTTCGAAAGAAACTGCACTTGATAACCTGATATAGAGAGTCTACGAACCTTGTTGTCTGATTTGACAAAATAGATCATTGAGCAGGGTAAACGGATCCATTTGCAAAATGGTGAGAGAAAAAAGCTCTATCTCTGCCGTGATAGAGAAGAGAGCAGCAAATGCAAAAATGAAGTTTTGAGAAAACGGGCTCAGGAGCTTCTGACCGGAAAATTTTATTGATAGAAGCCTCCGTTTTTTGTCAAAGTGCCACAAATCCGGAAGAATCCTAGACCTCGTTTGGATGATTAAATATCCACTGATTTCACTTCAATTACATATTTAAGGGTATTTTTCATTTCCATGCTAAGCTGTTGTTGTAGGCAAGCAGCCGTAAGTGTCATCTTCTGCATGCTTTTGTGGTCGCGTTTTGGACACACAAATACGCATTTTCAGGTTAGAAATTCGCAGAAGAGGTCGGCGCACTTTACTTGAAAGCACTGTTTTCATTGGCTCTCTGGAGTAATATTGTCACTTACTGCTGTCTTGCCTAAAACTACGTCATTTTTTGCGCACTTACGGCTTTCTCATAAGTCTCGTTTTGATACTATTGAGATGACTTTTGCTGTTTTAGCAATTTCAGCGATTTCATCTATGGGAGTTTAGACGAATTTTGAAGGAAACTCGATTTCGAAAATTTGACACTTACTTGCTGCTCTCTTTGCTATCACAGCAGTGATGTGGAGAGTATACAAACCTTGTTGTCTAATTTTACAAAATGGATCATTGGACAGGGTAAACGGACCCACTTACAGGCATTTGAGGGAACAAGCTCTATCTATTTCAGGACATTGGGTTGGCTATTCAACATGTTCTTCTCTTCGGCTTAAACGATTTTTACTAAAAATAAAGTTTTGCTACAAAAATCTTACTGGTCGGTCTCTTCATAATTCGTTCGAATGAGAGTTTCCTATAGTTCAGAATAGTCATTTTTTCCGAGTACATAACAAAATTCCAAAAGTAACTGTAAAAAGTATTTATTTAAAAAATAATAAGCCTAAAACGCTTTGGTAAGCAATTCAGATCTCTTAAGATCTCCTCTTTTGTTCTTGGAGTTATCTTCATACAATAAATTATTTGGGTCTCAGCGCACTTATGACGTTATTTTGATTGGTTTTAAACCACAATATATTGTTTTGAACAGTTTCAAAGAACTGGTCTTGAGCAAGCTTGGAATATTCAAAAATACTCTCGTTTCTTGAGATCACGTTCTTTATTTCGTCCAACTCTTTTTGCGTATTCATGTAATTTGCAAGCACGGTCAGGTACGAGCCCATTTTTGCAGTTTTCACGCCAAAGAAATTATAAATATCATCCAACCTGGAAAGAAAAGGAAATTTTCTTCATTCATTAAAGTCGTCCGATAACTTCATTTTAATAAATGCCAATTCCTTATTATTTTTTTTTACTTGTATTAAAAATTTCATTAATATTTATTTTTATTTTTTTAACTGACTTACGTACTAGCGATCTTCAGATTCTGTGAATGTCACCTCACTATTACATCAGAACTTAAACAATTTTATCACGAATTTTTGAGTGGAATCCTTTGCTTTTCGAACATTCATGAAGTAAATCATTTCGCATTTAGGCGGGAAAACTTTGATAGAAACCCTTAGCATTACTTGCATATTTTTTTTAGATGTATTGTATCTTGGTGGATTCCGACTCGTCTTCAAAGAAATGACGGCAAGGATGCACGTTTATTTGATTCTTTCACGAGGCTCGCGTCGTGAGCTACGCCAGAATGTTTCTACCATTTGAAAACGCCTTCAGTCTCGCGTGATACTTCACCGCTCACACCAGAGTTTAAACAATTGTATCACAATTGTCGTGCAGAATCCTCGACTTTTCGAACGTTCATGAAGTATATTATGTCGCATTTAATCGGAGAACCTTTAGGGAAACTTTTGTCATTACTCTTGACGTCTCTTGTGATTTCAGACATTGCCTAGTAGTATCTAGGTACTTTCAAAAGAATCATTTTATTAGGATTTTTACCAAAGGACAAAATGAGTCAGTTGCGCTGGTCATAAAATCGCGTGTTCTGATGCTTGATTCTTATAGATTTGCTAAAAATTATATGATTTGTCTAATCAGCAACTTCCTAACGTCAATTTGAACCGAGATTTCGTGCTTTGAAAAATTCGTTTAATGATGTCATCCTCGGCGGCAGTGACATCCTTGGTTCCTTCCCCTTTGCTTTCTATCAGTCAGAGAGACACACATTTTTACTGGTTACTCAACGCGGGACTCGGATGAACGCAAGGTGGAAGAGACCATGAGTGTCATTACCGTGGCGGATGACGTCATGTACCGAATTTTTCAAAGCGCAATATCTCGATTAATATTGAACGTAAAAAGTTGCTGTTTGAACGGATCTTATCATTTTTAGCTAATCCACAAGAAAGTAACATCAAAACTTGATTCTGTAATCAGCGCAACTGGCCTATTCGGCAAATTGTCTTGTACCTGCGGACGAAGAATGTTCTGGCGATGGGATACCCGATCTGATTGGCAGCGACAGATCGGAAAACGGTGAGGGAATCCTGCCGCCGAATCAATGAGTTCTCGTCAATGGACCAGCTCAAATAAGCACCCAACACGGCCTCGTCTTTCGAGCATCCGAGCGCCATCAGGATGTTCTCTTTTTCTGCTGGGATGTTTGACTTCACGTATCTGGAGAAAAAATATGCCAGATTATTAGAAAAATAAAGTTATTAGATGTCTAATAAAACTCTGGCTGGACAGATCATGAAATAGCGGGTACAAAAGTGAAAAACTGGTAATTTTTACAAGTGCAAACATTTCATTTCAAAGAGTGGTGATAGCTGACCGGACCGGAAAAACCGGAAGGAAAATTTGGGTTATAGAGTAAGAGATGGGATAGCGAATTGAAGCGGTGCAGAATGCGCAGGTAGAGGAGATGCAATAGAAGGGAAAAGGAAGGAAGAGTTTGGAAGGGATGGTGGACACAACCAGCGTTAGGTTTTCGGTATAGAATTTCTGGCGTTAGGGTTACCAGAGCTTATATTTCTATCTGTAGTAGGATTTTGGATATAATTTTAATTTTATTGGATTGTTCATTTCCAGCGCTGATTTTAGTGCAATGAATAAAAAAAGTCCGGCCGTGGAAGCCTTACTTACGGGCTGTACATGTAGTCATACCGTCCGAGTTCCAGCGTAGCACCCGGAGCAATCGAAGCTACGGCTCCGGCACCCGGAACTTTCGGCCTCTGAGCCCGGAACGGATGGTACACGGAAAAAATGAGATTAGGGCTGGGCCCTAGAGTTGCTTCACCTCATACCCCACAGGGGCAGGCCATGCGTGGCGTGGGTAGGGCACAGCCCTACCTGGACAGGGTCCAGCCTTTACCATGCAAGTATAGAGCTGAACCCTGAAGTAGGTAGGTTTGGGCTCTAACCGCGCCGGGTCTGCCCCTATGAGGTATGAGGTAAAACAATTTTACCTACTCGGTTAGGGCTGGGGCCTTCCGCGCAGGTACCAGCCCTTAACTCGTTTTTTCCATGTATGTCTATACATCCCGTAACTTTTTTTGTGTGTGTTACTTGGCATAGTGGCAAACATTTACTTATGAACACAACCGTGAAATGTACAAGAGACGATCGTAATTTTCACCTGTTCCACATGAGTTTCCATTCTCTCTCTCCGCTGAGCGCGACCCCTGTACAGTAGACGGATCCCCGGATATCCTTGGGGATGACGGGCGAGTCACTGCTGGAAGTCATGGCCTGCTTGAAGAGCTCCTTCGCCTCCAGTTCGTATAAATCAAGTCCACAGCGCCTGGCCATCGCGGTAATCACAGATTTTCGCTGCGAAGTTTCACTGTCATCGGGTTCCTCCGCAAGAGGACCTATTTTCTCGTAAGCCGGCCTCACGATGCTCTGAATGTACTCCTGTGTAGGCATAAACGTGAAATAGTTTCATTATTCGTGTCCATAGAGTACATAGCGTCGTCATGTAAATGGGAGAGCTCTGCCGTGCTAAGAAAGAACGCCTTATGAACATTCGAGAGTTGCCAAATTTCCTTCGATAAAATGTTCATTTTGGAGGAAAGTTATGAATATTTTTCCTTGAAATTTTCAGGAACTTTAGATGAAATCGTGAGCAAAAATATCTTAAAAATTGGAAATAAAACATTCATAAATTTACCAGGAAACTCGTGTTTTATCAAAGGTAATTTGGCAACGCCTGGAGGTTCATACGGCGTTCTTTCTTAGCACGGCAGAGCTGGTGCCATGTTCCGGTCGACGAGTTCCGAGCCCGGTGTGCGCCAAGCTCCGGTCAGTTTTTTAATACATGTTCGATCCAAAATGGCGGTGTGGAATACGATTGACATAGTAATTCCTATCTTCTTTGGGGCCGGATTAAGGGGGTGACCAAATGGGCCGCGGCCCATGGCGGCAAAATGTAGGGGGCGGCAAATTTTGCAATCTTTTGGAATGTAGGTATCAAAAAAAAAGAAGAAAATAAATTACAAACGAGAAAAGGCGACAAAATCTCTGATCTCCTGAGAGTATAAGTATAGTAATTTCTAATTTTGTTGTCTTTCGGTGATACAAGAGACAACACCTTTAATTAGTTAAGAGAGAAACCAAACTCGCAATTTGACCTTGAGCGGAGCGGCGCAGAGAGCAATGACGACGAGGACTGAGATGGAAAGGAGAAGCCCTCGGCGCAACGGTCGACATGAAACGCATAGCGCCTACAAGACTGCAAGAATACCTCACGCATTGCGTCAAACAGTGCGGTCCGCAGCGGTACCAGCGGTCGGCGTGAAACGCATAGCGCCTACAAGACTGCATGAATACTTCACGCATTGCGCCAAACACAGTGCGGTCGGCGCAGCGGCGGAAGTTAAAATTATTAAACCACATTTATGTTTGTTTTTACTGTTGATGGGTTTACGAGTTCACTTAACTTTCGCGTAAAGTTCCGTGAACTTTTGTTGGTGTTGACAGGGCTTTCACAAAAAATGTGCCCAACACGAGTAAGCGCGTCTCAGACACCCCTCCCCCACCGGCACGTTCACTTAACGAATGAGAAGGGGGCCGAAAAATACAGGCGGCCCGTGAGCGGCAAGTGGGTAAATCCGGCCCTGATCTTCTTTGTTTACGTCAGATCGCCGCCCCCCCCCCCCCCCNTATCGACAACAATCGATTATGTATCGAAAAAGTGACCAGGCGTCACACAGGAGTCTCAGAATGCGGGACCTGGAAAATGGTTAAAAGTGACGCCAGCTCTCCCACTTACATTACGACTATATGTACTCTATGTTTGTGTCCCCGGTTACATGGAAGCTCATCACACAAGTGGACCACGTGTAGCCGGAAGGGACCAAGCCACGTCAACTATTGCCGTCAACTATTATGAACTTAACGGGGCAATTTAATTTTTAACAATAGAACGTTTGTGCGGATTACTTTGAAAATTTTAAGGAATCTCCTTCAAACTGTGCAGAAATTTCACTGAAATTTGCACAAAAGTCCATTTAAAAATTTCATGTTCCATTTCATGTTTCAAGTTCCATTTTCATGTAAAAATTAAATTGCCTCGTTAAATTTAGCAATAGCTGATGTGGCTTCGTTCTTTTCTACTTAACGCGGTCCAAGGCATGTAACCCTTCCTTGCGCCAATTTTTAATTTTGGATTTTTTGGAGGTTTTATGTTTTTTTAAGCTTCCTGATGACACACAATTTTTTCTAGTAATTTTCATCTTGAAGTCATACTTAATTGGAAGTAAAGATGGAACTTGTTGCGATGCTCGGTTTAAATTAGCAAGGTAAAACAAGCGGGAAAGTTCTAATACTGTCGTATTAGAAAAACGCTCAGGTGTTACTCAATGTATTTAGTGAAAAAAGGAAGTATAAACTCCGTTGACTTGTCTGGGAAATGGAAATAAAACATCAGCTGACAGCAAACAAAGGTTACCAAGGAAATCGTAAACGCGTTTTTTCGTTTCCCGAAAATGATAGTCACCGTTGAGCTCATCAGGCGCGTTTTTTTTTAGGCTTCATTTAAGTTCAACGATCAATTTTGATAAGAATTACTCTACCGCTAAGAAATGTTCTTATAGACAAACGATCGAAACTACCTGCGCATTACGTTTAAAGCATAAAATACAGTTTTCACAGCTTTATTTATTTTGAAAATGGACCCCCCCCCCAAAAAAAAAAGCCTACACATCGATGAGCTGGTGCGCCATTTAAACGCATTAGCACTACGAGGGGCGTTCAATAAGTAAGTATCCCCCCTCTCTAAAATCCATTAAAATGGACCAATTTTAAAAAAACTTGGGCTCAAAATCTTCCTTAGGATATTTTGAGTTCAACGAAACAAACCGCAACAAAATCGGACCATGTGCGGCCGAACGCGAGCCGTTTGAACGCGCCGAGGTGCTCGACGCTCCCGCCAAATCCGCGAGGATTTGAAGTCCGCTACAGGAGAAGAGCTTCTCTGCCAAAGCCTTAGTCGTTCATCACTGACGAAAAATCAAAGAAATTTTTGTAGAATTCGGGGCTTACCTCACTTCTCCACATAACCAGCTCGATCCAAGCAAGTCTGATACTGAGACTAAGACTAAGAGAACAGCTTTTGGATGCCTCGTGCGTGGAAGTCTTTCAGCTGACCGCGGATGAAAGAGTGGACGGCTTGTTTGACCTCTTCCACTGATTCAAAATTAACTCCTCCAAGTTCAGATTTCAGGAACGGGAATAAATGGTGGTATTTATTATCGTATCTGAAATCTGAACTCGGAGGAGTTAATTTTGAATCAGTGGAAGAGGTCAAACAAGCCGTCCACTCTTTCATCCGCGGTCAGCTGAAAGACTTCCACGCACGAGGCATCCAAAAGCTGTTCTCTTAGTCTTAGTCTCAGTATCAGACTTGCTTGGATCGAGCTGGTTATGTGGAGAAGTGAGGTAAGCCCCGAATTCTACAAAAATTTCTTTGATTTTTCGTCAGTGATGAACGACTAAGGCTTTGGCAGAGAAGCTCTTCTCCTGTAGCGGACTTCAAATCCTCGCGGATTTGGCGGGAGCGTCGAGCACCTCGGCGCGTTCAAACGGCTCGCGTTCGGCCGCACATGGTCCGATTTTGTTGCGGTTTATTTCGTTGAACTCAAAATATCCTAAGGAAGATTTTAGGCCCAAGTTTTTTTAAAATTGGTCCATTTTAATGGATTTTAGAGAAGGGGGATACTTACTTATTGAACGCCCCTCGTAGTATACTAGTACTCAGAGGCAAGTCGAAATCAAAAAGCGCTGCCTATCGGCTGAGCGCTTAATATTTGCACAATCTTGGCGTCAGGATACACTTGCTCCAAAATGTGGTCTTAAATCGGATGATTCCTCTTTTGAATCTTACAGAAATTTTACCTACTGTAATTATTGTTACCTTATAAATGTCATAATCCGGAGTATATCGTAGCATAGCTGCGATTTCAGAAAGATGAGCATCAGCTGCGTCCCATACTATGAATTCTGGTTCGTACTTCAGATAAGATGCTAGTTTAAAAGCGAGGTCATAATTTAAGTCACGAGTCCAGGCCAGGCTGAAGGAGTCAACCACGAGAAGCATTCGGTTCAAGGGGTCAATCTTCCGAAACTCACTTTCATCGTTCAATACTTCCGACAGCATTTCCCAATTTTTTAGATCATAGTTAACTCTATAAGTACCTGGAAAATACACAGTTGTAATTAATAGCGCCAGCAAATAAATATTTAAAAAGAAATAGGATAACTTACACAAATTTTAATACTGAGACCTAAAAATTGATCTAAACTTAGTTCTTAACTTCTCAAAATATTCTTTCAATACGTTGACAAGAGGGTTAATAAAACATCCCATTTGGAAGCGCTTACTAATATGAGCATATAAAAAATTAACTAATTCGATTGCTTTAACTGAAGTAATATCTACAGCAATTTACGTTTCCTAATTTTCTCTTCGTGTTTTATTTATTCCAGATACATGTAAGCAATATTAAGGCTATATAAAACTATAAAATAAATTACAATTCATATGAATATCCGTTTGTTTTCCATAGTTTTCATTCAAAGTAAAAATCTACAACAAATGAAAACAGGCATCTTGAGCTGAGACGAAAAGCCCACTTGCAATTAAGCGGTCCATTTAGAATATCAAACTTCTTCGGTTCGAGTAACCAAAGTTTTCAGCCATAAGAATCGAGTGATAGTAATCTGAACCAAATTTCGGGTTTCTGTGACCGGAAACTTTGGTTAGCTGAATGAACAACATTGGTGTTAGAGTTCAACACGAACCGAACTTTTTTTCTTGAGTGGAATGAGACTGGGCTGACTCTGAATAAAGTCTTTCAAATTGGTTTGGTCCAATACTTAAGTTATGTACGGGTTTTACGTACCAGTAGCTTTTAGGTTGAATAGAACCCACGAATCTTCATTTGGCAAATCCGTGATGATAATGGGCCCGCTACAGTTGAGCCACGCTTTTGGTTTCGTTGAGTTGAAATCAGATTCGTGTCCGGTCGTGTAACTGAGAGGAATCCACCAGCACTGTTTGTTTCCTGACTCATCTCTTAACTCTGTATTTTGGAAGTAACGGCTCTAAAATCATGAAAAATTCCACGATTAGACATATTGAACACAAATTTGACATAAATTAATATGTTTGATCAGAGGTACCCGGATGAAAAAAATAGTGAAATTCACACGAGACGTCTCCAATATTCCAAAGTTGCAACAAGTCCAAAATAAATTACATGGAATTTTGACGGTGAAACTTCCAAACCAAGTATCTCAGTTTACGATGTTGTGAACTTCCTGACATACTTTATTTTTGAGTTGGAAAAGAAACTAAAGTTAATACTTTATAATTTCCGTGGTTTATCTTTTCTATGCGATGGGTATTTTATGAGAACTTTCAGGAATGAGGATAATTTGGTATCCTTTAAATCGAAGCGGAGATTTTAAAATACCACAAACGAGATACGTGGTCTGGATTTATGTTTCAAATCGATAATAGTCAGCCTAACACTAAATATTAATAAAAATACTTCCATTATTGTTCGTTGCCATCCATTTATCAATATTCATGACTTACTTTTCACCCAAAAATAAAACAGAAAATTTAAGAATCCATCTAAAAAACCTACGATTTTTTTGTGCGCCGATTTTGCTACTTTTTACGGGTTGCATACTTGCTCTCTCCAGGAGCAGTCTAATGTAGAAAATTTACCTGTGACACCTTCGCCGTGCCTTGTTCGTAGTCTCTTTGAACATTAACAAGAGGATAGCCAGTCTGAACTGTCCATGAGTCCATAATTATTTTGACGCTAGTTTCAGCCGGGAGAGCCCCTCTAACGTGAGCCACCGACGTTAGTTCGTTCCAAAGATCGTCTTTCTCCGCGTTCCCATACGCAAACTTATTTAAGTATTGTTGCAATCCGGCTTGGAACGTTTCATCCCCCAGAAAGTGGTTCATCATACGGATGATTAAAGGACCTGAAATATAGTACAGAAATGACAAGATTAGGTTTTCGTCACACCATCAATGAATTAATCAACTTTAATATGGAAATAACGATCACTCCAATAAAATGAGGTTTAAAATGTTATCCCACAAAGGAATTAATGATAAGGACCAAGTTTGAAAACTGTTCTCATGTTCAAAATATTTTTGTTCGACTTCGAATTTTTGACAAGACCGGATGAAGGGGCTGACATGGGCCTCGGCCCACGGTGGCAAATCTAGGGGGCGGCGAATTTTGCATTTTTTTAAAATGTAGGTATAAAAAAAATCGGATTTAGAAAAAAAAATTACAAACGAGAAAAGGCTGCAAAATCTCTCATTTTCTGAGAGTATAGTAATATCTAATTTTGTCGTCTTTCAGTGGTACAAGAGACTGCACCTTTACTTAGTCGAGTTAAGAGAGAAACCAAACACACAATTTGGCCTGGAACTTTGGACTTAGGGAGAAATGATGACGAGGACTTGAGATGAAAAGGAGAAGCTCTCGGCGCGGCAATCGGCATGTAACACATATTAACGCCAACAAGACTGCTTGAATACCTCACGCATTGCTCCAAACACGGTGCGGTCGGCGCGGCGCGGCGGCGGAAGTTGAAATCATTAAAAACCTTTTCTGTTTGTTCTTTCATAATTTTTTCGTTCATTTCTTATGAATGGAAGGCCTTGTCCACACAGAAATATAGTCTGTCCGAGATGGGAAGGTCCGTGGAAAGTCGGAATTAATTGCACTATGTAGAAACAAGGGTAGCGTTCGAGCCATTGTAAGAGATGAAGACACTGAACCAACCCTGTGTCGTGGCGCACCGCACAGAGGGCTGACTCCTTATGAGTCGCTTGCCGCATCGCGCAGCTCGGCGCCTAGCACAGGAATTTACGGCTCCAGGTTCATATTCCGGGAAAAACCGCCGCTCCGAGGCCCATAGCCTCCTGTGCGGTGGCTGCGGCGTGCGCGAAACATCGATAAGTGACAGTTGACGAGGGTCGAAACACCCCCACCCTGCAAAATAGTGCTAATTATTCCGACTTTCCACGGACCTTCCCATCTCGGACAGACTATAGGTTTACGAAACCTGACTTTCGCGCAAAGTTCCGTGACCTTTTGCTAGTAGTGTTGACAGGGCCTTCCCAAAAAATGTGATGTTCAACACGAGTGAACGCGTCTTATGCACCCCTCCCCCGCTGGCACGTTCACTTTATGTTTTTTATTGATGTTTCAAAACGAATGAAAAGGGGGCGGCAAAATATAGGCGGCCCATGGGCGGCAAGTAGGAAAATCCGGCCCTGATTTTTGACAGTCACAAATATACGACTACGGGTATTGTATTTTCCCGCCTTAATTGTGATCGTTTCAGAGAAAAAGGGATTTAGTCTACGGTAGCGAGATCCTCAAGGGTGCAATAATATTGGCCGAGTTCGATTGAAAAATCGGGATTCGAGATTTTGCTGGAAAAATATCTTCAGTACCTCATCAAATATGTTGTGGTTGGAATGATCGTGGTAGCCTCTGACCAAATTAACCATTTCCGAGCGAAATTGCAGCCAGACCAGCTTAAATAGGCAATACTCCTTACACAATACACATCAAGCTCACACCTTGTGCGTCCAATGTATCTAAGTTGGTCCGGCTGTAACATACCATTAACCTTGAGAATTTGGGTTACTGGGTGAGAATGGTCACTACAATGGAGATGTTGTATGTGTGAGGGATTTGCGATTTGACTGTTGATTCTTACGTAAAAGCTCGCGAGAAACACGATGTTGTCACTAGTTTTCTCTAAAATCGACTCCCAAGCTCAAAAAAAGGCCAAAATGGAGGGGATATTCCACGCTATCCTGAGAGTCCACCTCTACATCAACACAAACTCTCCATGTAAAGATAGGGAGCAAATACATTGACAGGGCTGCCACTTTATTTGGGGACTCCAAAACTGGAAACACGGCATCACTGCTAATGTATTTGCTCCCTATCTTTGCATGGAGAGTTTGTCTTGATGTAGAGGTGGACTCTCAGGGTAGGGTAGGATATCCCCTCCATTTTGGCCTCACTTTGAGAGCTTTTTTTGAGCTTTGGAGATGATTTCAGAGAAAAACAGTGGGACCATCGTGTCTCTCGCGAACTTTTACAAAAGAATCAGTAGTCAAATCGCAAATCCCTCACACATGCAACATCTCCATTGCATCGCTTAAATTGTGTTTAAATTTTCCATCAATGACCCGAGTATCTTCTCCATCTATTCTGGGTAAATCTACGACCATTTCACCTTACCTTTGGCATACGGTATTTTGTCGAAAAGTTGTGCTATCTCCGCCGGGTTACCAATGGGAACGGAGACTGGGTGTGATGAGTTCAGGCTATCGAGAGCAAATGTATAACCTAGATCTGTGGCCACTTGGTGGCTCATTGTTTGCCAGTGAGTAATAACCTGCGCATAAAAAAGGAATATATAAAACATTTTTGTGGTTATTTGCCTTATATTATCACCAAAATGTATCATAACGTATTTTCATGGTATGCGATTTCTGTTGCTCTCGAGCACTATATTCTCATGAAAGATAGAAAAAATGTTACAGTACACTGGAAAAAAAAAAAAACACATTTGATCTAGAGTCCAGACTTTTAAAAACACCGACAAGAAAAAGTACTCTTGATTCAATCAGAATCTAGCTTAAATCAAGAACCAAGCCTCTTAATTTAAGCGGATTTCGTTTTGATTCAAGCGAAAATCCGATTGAATCACGAGTAGTTTTTCTTGTCAATGTTTTCAAGAGTCTGGACTCTAGATCCAATGTGTTTTTTCCCCCAGTGATCACAATAAAAACAAGCTGTGTTTCAAAATATCTACTCGACCTATTTTATTTTTTCGGAGAGGAACAAGTCAACAGTAGAGCTTGATATGTCTGCGGAATAATAAAAAATGGTCACTAGATGAGATGAGGCTTACATTTTCCATGGCTATTGCCCCAAGGTAAGATGCGAAGCCCTCTTTCAGCCAGAGATCAGTCCACCATTGCATAGTGACCAAGTTGCCAAACCACATGTGCGCTATTTCGTGGGCAGTCGTGAATGTCAAAGATTGCTGCAGGTTCACGGATGTTGATTTTGGATCATACAGAATGGCCTTTTCCCTGAAATGGTATTAAAATTAATTAAACGTTTCCACTGTATTGATTCGTAATTATTCCATTGCGTTTTACGAATACTAGCGCCAAAATGAGCTTTTGATAAATTCTGGATGGTCCAAACTTTTTGTTATAAGAAGCGGCCGAACTCATGAGCCGTGAGTATGTGACAAAAGCGTTGTAGACAGGGCTCATGAGTTAAAGACCGCGTAACTCCTCGGGACAGGGTTGAAATTTTTCATTAAAATAAGTCTTGAAATTTCATGTGAAATATTTCATAAAGTTTCAGAAAAATATGAAAAATATAGAAATTTTTTTTTAGAAGATGAGAGGCGACTGGTATTGGCGCCTACAAGACCACAGGAATACTTCACGCATTACGCCAAACACAGTGCGATCAGCCGAGCGCTGCGCGGCGCAGCGCTGGGCACTGTTGTCGCCTGTCGCACTGTGTTTGGCGTAATGCGTGAAGTATAATTTTTTTTCTGAATCCGATTTTTTGGCGCGTATACGTAGTATACCGCCTTTGCGATCGTTTCGAACCCTGCTCGATACAATAACCGAGTCCCTTAGTTCCTTACCGAAAAGTGACTACCGCGAACTTCTGAGATTTTCTAAAGCGTGTATAAGGTTTATTTATCCGTCAATAATTATGATTTAAAGTTGTTTCTCATTCTGGGGCTCGCTAGTTTATGTGCAGTGAATACCAAGAGTCTACGTTACTTGGTTTTTTTAAAAAAAAGCCTAAGAGTACGACGCGCTGATTTAAAATATGCATATATAAGCGGAAGCAAGCGAACTGATTCGAGGATGGCTGACCAGTTCGGCACTCCTTGAATGAGAATTTCACTCACTCCGTTTTGTTCAAAACGTTGCTTTGACATATCTCCACACCACTGTTATCCTTTCCAAAAGTTGGTACTCCTTGCTCTGATAGCCGGGGCCAGCAGGATAGTGGTAGGTAGGGGGAATCTGTGATGAGCCTCGAGACTCATTAGACCATTTGCTAAACGTGGCTCATACAGGAGTCCACTCAGCCCTCTCTTCCCCACGCTACTGATCACTGCGTCGGCGTCACGAAGAACAATGGGCCTTGGGCCGCACACTGTGGTATTGGACCTGAAAAGCTGGCCAAAACTATTTATCACCAGATATCGCCGAGTTTTAAAAATATTTTACAATCAGTACTTCTTCTTAAGTGATAATATGCACAATTTATCCACCTAACACATCATATGACAATTTGCGGAGAGTTTAAAGAGGATGGAAGAAGCCCTCCAAAAAGCCTTTAAAAGGACGCAAAGTATCTGACTAAAGCGGTGCATTTAGACGAGTTTCTCCTTCATCTGTGGTCCACTTTTCGAAATAAGGACTCTCTATGACCTCATTAATGGTATTTTTATGAAACAGCGTAAGTCCTTTCAAAATTTTTGACGAAACAGCCGATCTCTCACATTGAGGAGTAAATGTACATTTCTCAAAAAAATTAATATGAATCATTCTAGATATTAGATTTTTGACTGTTTTGAATCAAAATTAGTGCTAGTATGAAAGTGCCGGGACCTCCATATGATGATTTGAGGATAACTTATGGGATGAAAATCAGTCTTATCAAAATAAGAACCATTGTGAGGACAGAAAGCACCTATGAAAAGGATTCATTTTGATGGGTTCCTTCCTAACCCATGATCTACATCTCGAAGTGAGGGCACTCCATTAACTTTGAAATTGCCTTTTTTAATATAAAACAGCGTAAGTCAATGCGAAATTCGTGACAAAACCACATATCTCACTTATCGAGGGCCAATTGTATTTTTTCTTAAAATTTAGGTTGATAATAATGGAAGATTTAGTTCTAATGATGTCCCTTTACAATCTGCTGCCTGAGGAAAAATCGTAAAATTACTTTTACGAGGCTTCAAAATGTGCCTCTCAGCGTAATTTCATGGTGCCAGAGGGCCACTTTCGAAGCCCCACCCCACGGCCGGATGGCCTCAAATTTGTCTGTCAAAGTAAAACATGGCATGAATATGTCTATACTCAAGGATAATGCACGAAGAGATCGTTAAATAACGGATTAAACTCTTTTGCAAGACTTTAAAATGACCCTCTCTTCCGCTTTCAAATTATTTTTTTCATCCCTCTTTCGGGGACGTAGGGGCCAGAGAAACAGGTTGTGTGACCAAATATCACCCAATTTCGTACTAAATGGGTCAGAGGTATTGGAAAAATACAATTTCAGTCGTTAGTATCGAAATAATTTTTCCCATTCATGTTTGTGAAAATCGCTCTAAAGTCCATGTTTTAAGTCAAAAATTTCAATTTCCTCAGTTTTCCTCAGTCTGTCGATCCTGAATCCTGAAAATACCCACTTCGGACTATAACATTCCGCCTGAAACCGCTTGAGAGCAGTTGAGAGAAATTTTTAATCGGACTGTGAAATTCGAAAAAAACGTTTACTTTTACATCACTTTTCAACCTCCTGTGAAAATCACTAAAAAAGGAAATTTCGAAAATACTGTGGTTAGTTGTGTAGAATATACCCTTAAGAATGTGTTGCATATCGCCGAACTTCCCTCGTATGGTCGCACAGTTGAAGTAAACTGATCGACGAGTAGCGCGTCAAAACACATCAAAAAAATCGCTGAGAAATAGGTAACTTCGTGGTCTCTTCGCGGGAAATTGAGCCACTCGAAAAATGGCACATACATGGCTATTGGGGTAAAAAACAGTGTATATTTCGAATATCACATTGGTTTTCCAAAAAAAAAAAATTTAAAATTGAGGTTTTGGCCAGGTTTTTCGGTCAAATACCACAGTGTGGGCCGCCTTGGGTCCCAACGCGGCCGATACCCGTACCCCAATTACTCTCGCTTCATTAACCATTTCACCGTCACGCTAGGATTCATCCAATTTTCAAAAAAAAATTGTTTCGCGTGTATTTAGCAATATTTTCCTTACTCTCCGTTAAAACACAAGTAAAAAAAGACCTCATTCATAAAAATCGGCCGAATAGAAGAGAAGTTACAGTAATCGAAATCCGAAGAAATCAACAAAACCTCGACTTCTCGATACGAAAAATAAAATGAAGGGGAAAAAAAGAAAGTATAAATTACAATTAAATATAATTGACCTCAGAATTTGACAAGCAATTCATTTGTATACCTAACGGTGAAAAAACTGGGAGAAATTACAAAAAATTCGCCACTTGCAAGGGGCTTCTTTGTAAGAATTTTGACCTGAAGACAACAGTCGAATAACAGCAGTACTTAATACAATACACGGTGTGCCTGAACGAATTAAACATTTTTTATACGTCCAAATCGAAAAATCTTTATATTTTTAACTACAATGTCTCTTGAATCGTTTAAGACAAAAAAAAAAAAAAAATTCCGTCGAGATTCTGGAACGTAAAGGCGCTTTAAAAGTATTCTGGGGCTATAATAGCTAAATCACCGGTAGTAAATCCCGTTATATTATTAATAAGAAATTGACTCCATAGTTTAATTCCTTAGTTTCTTGAATACGATTATTTTAATCACTTAAACATTTATACCACCAATTTTAGCCATGGGGTGATTTCCTGAGAGCCGATAATATCACGAATTTCTCATAGAACCCCTCAACAGTGGCTTGCTTTTTTGGCAGCCGATTCGGCCATCGAACCGGAGTTTAAATGGAAGCTGATAATAACCCAAAGCTCTGAGAAAAATTTTGAGATGAGTATAAGAACGGTTTGTTGTAAGTAGCGAGGAGAGGCGGGCAAAGCGGCTAAAATCCTATCTAATTTTTACAGTTTTTCTGTTGAATTAATGTTGCCGCGGGCTTCTGACTGTCCACACATAGTTCTGTTCAGCATATCGATACATAAGTATTTACACACGTAGAATCTAATTTTCACGTCGGGGAGTCGACATATTTTGATTTTGTCGATTTTATACGGAAAATTGATGGTTTCTCGGGATTGAAATTATTATTGTTTCATGAAAAATAAATGCACCCAAAATGAGTATAGCATATTGATTTTTACACATTTGCACTCACGAAATTGGTTGGTAAATTCAACGAGTGGGTGCATCGACCTGGTATATCAAGTTTCTGCAATTTTTTACGGCAAATCAGTAGATTTTCGGGATGTAGATTGCTTACTTTCAATTCATGAATGAATAAAGCAACGACATGGTTGAACTTCTTTGCATGGAAAGACGTTTAAAATAACAAAATCAAGACGTATTTAATGCAATTGCATTTATATCGAGTCAATTTCTTTTCAATAATATAACGGGATTTTTACTACCGGTGATTTGGGTATTTTAGCCCCAAAATACCTTTAAATCGACTTTATCTTCTAGGAGTTCGACAGAATTTTTCCTTTCTTCGCTTAAATTATCCCGTAGCACTTTTCTTCAAGAATCTGATAAGATTTTGCTTGAGGCAGATCAAAAAACTTAAATTCGATCGAATAGCTTTCTACTTTCACAATACACGGTCTCGTCAAGGTGCGTCTTTGACCTCGCAGTGTTGGATCGTGAATTCTCTTGTTGTGCTGTTTGCCTATTTTGAAATCTCTGTAAATGGAAACTAAAGGGGTTGATATGTGCGAGTTAATGACGCGCCTTATCAACACATTGTGTTGGAGTTCACTGCTTGTTTTATACCTACATTTAAAAAAATTGCAAAATTTGCCGCCATGGGCCGCGGCCCATATGGCCACCCCCTTAATTCGGCCCTGCCAACCTCTGAAAATATGTCTCATATTTCTCAGAACTTCGAGAAATTTCAAGTAATATTTCAAGGTATGCACTTATGGATTGCATTTTGCAAAAAGGAATCACTAGTATTGCAATGATGCCAGGATTGTGCAACTTCATCTTCTGCAATAAAATTGCGGAAATCGTGAAAAACTATGAAATTTAGATGGTAATTTTTGTCTTAAATTTACAGTTTTTAGCGAGTAAAATAGAAACTATTATTGGATAATCGGGTTTTTCCTCCAAGACAAAAGAAGTTGCACAATCTTTGCAACATTGCAATGCTAGTGGTTCCTTTTTGCAAAATGCAATCCATATATCCGTTTGACAGAAATACGCCCAAGTCATTATCAGGGCAATCCACGCGTCCCGATCATCCTCACCGAAAAGTGATGAGTCCCCAATTCTCCATGGCGTTGAAGTTGAAGTCGGGGATGGCGGCCAGATCCTGCTTCGGGAGGGGGTAGTCGATCCCGAAGTACCTCTCGAGGAAGTCCAGAAGTTGGGGGCCGACGAAGAGCGAGAAGCGCGTCTGCTCGAGGGCGTCCCTCCGGACCCAAACTTTGAAAGGGATCTGCCTCGTGGCCGTCTCTGTCGGCGGGAGGTGCTCGAAGTCCGAGATCATGAAACCGACCACGTACGTTGACATCTTGACCGTCGTCTCGAACTCGGTTTTGACCCAGTGATCCCGATCTTCTCTGGAAAAGTAGCAGTGCAATAGATCGTATTCGATACATCAAACGGGTGAGATTGTATCGATATCGATTGGTTCGAAACATAAACATAGCCTCAAAAGTAAATTCAGAAATCTGAGAGAACGGATCTTTTGAAACAGATTTTTTATTCTTTTGAGTACCAAATGCCAGTGCAAAGTAAAATTGTCAGGACATTTCTCATTTTCAGCTTTTCCAATTAAAATCCTTAGTGTTTGGTTTGAGGTTATGTTCTATTGTTTTGAACCAAACGATACATCGAACCGTTATCGAATACGGTCTATGAATCATATAAATGGGACGTATTTCTGTCAAATGGAACTAAGCGCCGTCGGGGGAGGAAGGTAGAGGGGGGCTTGGATTGGTGGCGGAACCGGGAGTCGGGCTCATTCGTTCCTATACTCGCAATGCTTTTCCATGGCGCTTAGTTCCGTTTGACAGAACGCGCTATCCGGGATTCTAAATTCCTCAAAAGGAACACAAATTGGCGCTTAGTTTCGTTTGACAGAAATACGTACAATTGATTTTTAAATTCGTCATTTTCCTCACGAAAGAACGTAGCTGTATTTTAAAGTTGCCAAATGCCTCCCGCCTTGACAACTAGTTATTAGGATTAGTTCTGTCGTGCTATTGAAGAACGCCGTAAGGACCTTCAGGCGTTGCCACATTTCCTCCGATAAAGCTCAAATTTCCGAGTAAATTTACGGCTATTTTCCTTTCAATTTTTTAGAGAATTTTTTTCGAAATTTTACCTAAAGTTTCTGAAAATTTCAAGGAAAAACGTTCATAACTTTTATTAAGAATGATAATTTTACCGGAGGTAATCTGGCAACTCCTGAATTTTTATACGGCGTTCTTTCTTATAGGACAGCAGAGTTGAACTCAGTCTTTTTTCTTATCAAATCGTCTTAATATAGGTTTTTTGACGTAACTCTATTCCATATTAATAATTCAGACTTGCAACAAATTTTGTCTCCGAGCCCGGTTTTAAAATCTGATCTAAAATCGAAAATTTGCCCTAGTATTTTTATTGCTGTGACTCCACGGCATGCAAATTGTATTAACTTTAAGTCAATACACAGTGTCATGTTTGTGCTTTATGTACCTACTTTTGATGAATAAATAATTTATCTCTCTCCTTGCAAGTTGCTTTGTACCAGGGAGATCTTAAAAATTTGTAACCGGGAATTTCACCGACTTTCACCTGATCCCATGCAAAAATCAGACAAAATTTTGACAAAAATGGCATGGAATTGAAAAATTGATTTTATGATCGATTATCGATTAGACTTACAGTACAGACGTGTGTTTGACCGGCATGTTGCTTAAAGCTGTGTACTTTTTGTCGTGAATTAAACTTATTGAGAACGTTGCTTTCATTGCAGGCTCGTCAAAACATGGAAAAGCTTTCCGAGCGTGAATCGGAGAAAATTGGGTTACAGCCAGCCATCTGCAAAAAAGAAATTCACATTGAAACCATAATCTATAATATACTATAAAACATAATCGTAATGAATGGTAATGCTCAAAAACAGTAAATTTATCTTCAAGTGTTATATTTTACACGCATTGTTAACTTTGAATCCTTACCTTGTTTCATTAGATTTCTGCTCCAGATAACTCGACCGGTAAAATCCCCACAGGTTGGTGTTCAGTGTGCCTTTGTAAGGGATATCGTATATGTAAGTGCGGTTTGGCTGCAAAGGCTTGTTTGTTTCGGCGATGAAAAACTCATTCACCGTGTCGTAGCTAGAGTTTGTGATTTTGATGTGTTGCGGTTTGGGAGCCCCTTCAGATCGCGCCTCCGACACCCGCAATACGTCGGTTCCTATTGTCAGTGTGTATGCGTGCAGGACAATTTTGTTTGTGGCTCGGATGCATTTTAACTGAAATTGAAGCATAATAGGAATTGTTAGTTTGCTGCGTAGGGTGTAAAATCATAAAATCTGAGTTCATTAGGACCATGTTTAGCAAGGAGGAGCCAGGCCAAATCAGCTGTTGCCAAATTTAACTGGGAAATCTATTTTTTTTTACAATAGAGCGTTCGTGCAAATTTCTGTGAAAATTTTAAGGAATTTGCTTCGGAGTATGCAGAAAATTCACTGACGTTTGTAAAAAATCTGAAAAACTGTTTTCATGTAAAAAATTAAATTGACCGATTATATTTGGGGATAGCTGATGTGGCTTGATTATTTTCTGTCTAACGTGGTACATTTCTGATTAACATTGGAAAAGGCTGATTCACTAAAGTGTTTTACGGATGCGTTAGATATCGTATAGTTCCTAACAGCAAAATGTAGTTAAATTCTAAGGTATGTGCATAGAAGAAGCACTTTTTTTTGGCCGGTAATTCCGGAAATGACCTTGATCTCCTCGAGCACCAGTTATATGAAATCCACAATTTTCTCCAGAAAAACCCATTGGTAGAAAAAATCCCGGGTTTTTGAAAAATTGTAGTTGGTAAGAATTAATTCAATATGTTTCATAAACTAAGCAGTATTTTTTTTGCGTGTGAGTGTGCCAGAGCAGCAGTTGTATGTGAAAAGGTGATTTCACCATAGTGTTCTATTTTTTTCGATCAGAACATGTTGAAGGCTATGACCCATCGTTTACCTTGATGGTGACTCTTCCGTGGTAAGTGAAATCGTTGTCGTCTAAATTCGTTAAGATGCTAATATTATAATGCTCAGGGATGACGTCACCCGGTAGCCGATATCGAGGCGTCATGGCTCTGGCTGACCTGCTCCCAACCAACAGGAAATATGAGATCCATAGTAAACAAAGGTTTATCATGCACAAAGGAGCTGTGTTGGAGCGGAGGATCCTAGAGTAAAACAAACAAATTGAATCGACGACCAAGCACATGAGAGATTCGCTGAGACCTGCTCTTTTTTCATGTTGAGAAATAATCGACAAAAATCTAAGTTACAGATAAGTGTATATCAGTGTTCCAGAGCAAGACAGTCATAGGGTGTCTCATATTTTTTTTACAGTTTAACAGTTTTTTTCTCAGATGATCGTGGCTGGAGATATGAACCAAAGTTTCTCCAAAAATCAGCAAAAATGCGCCTTTTTAAAGCTAATTTTTGAAGAAAACGTTAATTTAACGACCAAAAAATTAAGCTAGGAAAAGAAAAGGAGGGTGATTTCGGTAGGATATTTTATGCTCTTTCTGCTTGTTTTTTTCGTAAAATCAACCGTTGAGGAGATATTTTCAAAAAAATGATCGTGGATTTTTTCAATTTTGAAAAATTCAAAATGGCGGCGCCCTGAGCGCCAACCCATTTTCTTGAAGTTATTATAGGCATTTTTGGACTTCTATATCATCTAGGAATCGAAAAAAAATTGGTTTGGTTCGAAGGACAAACCAAAACCCGAAATTTGTTGTGCTGTGTAATCGACTAAAATCTAAGTTACAGATAAGTGTATATCAGTAAAACTACAAAAACCCTCAAAAACATTTTTCGGGCAAAAAATCCGGTCGAGGAAATTGACGTGTCACTTCCTTTTCAAGTATAAGATAGGCAAAAACCTTTGATGAATTCCCAAGGTCCACTAAGACTAATAATCATCAAAAAGTTCAAAAAAAAAAATAAATCCCTTGCCAAAAATAAATAAAAAAAACCGATTTTGAGATAAATCCCTCGAATGAACTTGAAATCACAAAATCGGTCGAGGATGTCAACTGAAACTTTTCCCCCTTTAATTATGAGCTCCGCAACAAGCGTGACTCGCTTGTACCTTTTCATACACGAGCCGCACGAATTCATCTCTTCTTCTCTCCTCTCCTTCCGTCCATGGACAGAGGTCCAAAATTTTTCGGATTTACTGACGCGACCGGCTGCGGCTCGGTGCGTAAACATGGGTGGATTATACTAAGATTACACATAAGTCAGAGAGAAACACGTACAACCTGTCGACTTAAGTGGGGCTCATTCCGTGAAGGGACTCAACTCCTCCACTATAACAATTCCACTAATAATTTTGCGATTCAGAAATCCCCTCACTTGTCCGGACCTAACGTGTCTGTCGAAATGTCATCCAATGGTACAGATGTATTTTATACTTAACTGATAGAGTATAAGAACAATTATTACTTACAACCTACCTACCGTCCAAAGCAAATGGTAAGCTCCCTTAAAAAAAAAATCCATGTTTCAGATGAATCATGTTTCGAAAAAGTCTAACATGTGGTTATGGAAAAATGGGTCGACTGGTGAAATTGCAACCGACTTGAAGCCGACATCAGGGATGATAAGAAGGCACCGATTCACTGAGAGCATCGAGCCGCAGCCGGTCGCGTCAGTAAATCCGAAAAATTTTGGACCTCTGTCCATGGACGGAAGGAGAGGAGAGAAGAAGAGATGAATTCGTGCGGCTCGTGTATGAAAAGGTACAAGCGAGTCACGCTTGTTGCGGAGCTCATAATTAAAGGGGGAAAAATTTCAGTTGACATCCTCGACCGATTTTGTGATTTCAAGTTCATTCGAGGGATTTATCTCAAAATCGGTTTTTTATTTATTTTTGGCAAGGGATTTATTTTTTTTTTTAACTTTTTGATGATTATTAGTCTTAGTGGACCTTGGGAATTCATCAAAGGTTTTTGCCTATCTTATACTTGATTAAAAGGAAGTGACACGTCAATTTCCTCGACCGGATTTTTTGCCCGAAAAATGTTTTTGAGGGTTTTTGTAGTTTATATCAGGTCGTTTTTGGGTGAATAAGTACCTAAAGGTCTGGCTGTACGAAGAGCTAGCAAAACCGAAGCGTCGAAAAAACACAAGCAGTGTTGTTGATTTCTCCATAAGCCACCATGTTAGAAATGCCGGTTTGGTTCACACTTTGTATAAGTCAGAAATTAAATCCCTATGTGAATAAAATCCAGGAGTAACATACATGAATGGATTTATTATGGCTTTGACCATCTATTTATAGCAAAATTTACACAAATTAACATCGATTGACTTAAAAAATGTCGAAAAAACACAAGCAGTCGTTGCTTTTCCCGTAAGCCGCCGTGATAAGAAATGCTTGTCGGTTCACACTTGGTTTAAGTCTCAATTTACTTCCTTTTTGGAATATTATTCAAGAGTATGATACATTAATGGATTCACTATGACTTTAACTACCCGTTTGCAGCAAAATTTGCAAAAATTAATGATGATTGAATTAAAAATGTCGAAAAAACACAAGTAGTTCTTGATTTCTCTATAAGCCACAATGATGATAAGTGCCGTCGGGTTCACACTTTTCGGAGCACAAGCGGCTCGGAAAGGCCCGTTAATGGATTGACTTCATCGGCGCTCCAGTACATTGCGACTCTATTGTACTCTATGGTTCAGAGCGAATCGGAGAACCGGAACGAAAGCAGAGTGCTACTCAGCGCTCCTGGTGGAGAAAAGTGAAAGTGAAAACTAGGGTTCCGGCGTTAGCCGCGAGAGAGCGCACCAATGCTGATTCTGAAACGAATCTGCAGGTGTTCATTGGTTGAGATGTAACTGCATCATGAGAATGTGGCCACCACAATTGAGTCCTTATTTTTACTGAACTTCAGACAGTGGGAAACGCACACAGAACTGTTGTCAAATTAAATGATGTTTTTAATTATTAATAATGGAACTATCGTGATCTTTTTATCCAAAGGATTGACGCCAAATCACGGATCGGTTGGGAACAATTAAATCTATGAATCGCTGCGTTGCAGCTAGTGTCTTTTGTCCCACCAATAACAAAAAATTATGTTGGTACCTGCACTTGGTATAAAGATTGACAACTGACTTGACCTATTTAATTTATTATCTTATGTGTTCTTAATGTAGTAAATAAGTCTGGAGATCTAAGTATTGGCATGAGTTCATTAGAAAAAAAGGCTCATCTGAATGTGAGAGGCCAAAGCGGTACTTACGGTCACCATACCTGGGTTCGTAGGCTCACCCTCGTACCTACTGAGACGGCAATCTCCATCTCTTGATCGGAGGATATGCCGCACCTAGTTGGTAAGAGTGGAGAGGCATTTATGATTACATTGATACCATGGGGTCTAATTGTATTTAGCCTTGATTAACACGATCACACTTATTCCAATGGAACTAGGCAGGAACACGTACCTACGAATCTTACTACTGTAGTCCTCGTAACAGATAAGCAATTTATTCTGTTACGCTTTTGAACAGAGGAAGAATGGACGCACCCATTTCACACAGTAATCGATGCAAGAAAATGAAGCCTTCATTGTATTTTTATCATCAACTTATGAAATTATGAGAATAAAACGGGTACATACCTTTCATTAAAGACCTTGTTATACATTGTTGGGCAAAATGAAGTTTCTAACAACTCCTGACGCAAAATCAAAGAGACTCAGAAGAAACCAATTTGAGCAAATGCTCACAGTCAAAGACCTTTGATTATGTGACATTAAGTTGACCTATGATTGAACTGTTCCGAAAAGGGATGGAATTGTGCCTCACATACTCAGGTTCGCAAGCCACGCGTAACAAGAACGGTAGAAGAGATAGGAGGATTCCAAGATAAATCATGAAGGAAACATGTTCTTAATGTAAATAACATACACTTCAGAGAAGCATAATCACTCCAGAGCACATAGGTTGATGGCAAGATATAGAGCGAATAAATTTTGGTCGAAGTTCAGTGACAGTCGCATGTGAAGGCCGAGGCTCATATTCCAGTAATTTTTAGACTTTAGTCGTGAGAATACATTCTGTGATGTAAATGCTGCTTCCTTTGGAGAGTTTGGCACAATTTCGGTGTAATTTCGTTAACGTAATTTACCTGAATTACATCTATCGCTTAGGTCAGGTACTGACATAAACATGACGACATAACCTCACTTAAAAATTTGTCACATTTTCGTTCAATAAAATAAAGATACCACTTGAAAATTTTAAGAGAAACTAAGGTAATAGTATATCGGGCTCCAGTAGAACACGTGAGACGTAATAATATGAGTATGTAAATATAGTAGTTAGCATCTACAAAGAATTAAACTCTTATCCAAATTAGGTAAATCTATTCACAACTAGTTAAAGAGGTTGGCAACGACCGACCAGAAATCACTTGAGATTTTTAAGAAACCAATGAAGTAGCGTATCGGGATAAAAGTTGGCGTAATAATATAAGTGTGTAATATTAGTTAGGATCTAAAATGAATTGAACTTTTAAATTACATCTGTTCATTATTCACAAATAAATACAGTAGATGGAGGTTGATAACGACGACAGGAATTTCGTTCCCGAAACTCGGACGAACCTGAACAGAATGAACCAATGGCGTTGAACCATTATATTACTGGTTTTTTTCTAAATTCAAAAATTATAGCTAAAATTTTGAAGGATGTAAGCGGATGCTGGATTATCCGTGAGATAAAGCGCTTTTTTATGTGGCAAAATGAAATCCTCACATCTTCACGGAGTGCCCTTTATATAGGCTCCATTACAATCTGCGGCCGGGTAAGCGAGAAATCTGTTGTTAAAGATGGTCATGACGGGCAGTTTAGTCGTATTTTCCGTAATTTCTCTTTAAGATCACTAGGAATGTTACAAAACTGTAAAAACCCGTGGACACGGTAACATGACGATTCTTTAGGTACCCACTTTTATGGGTCTAAGGTTTACCGTTATCGCGGAGTTTGAGTGACTTTCTCAGTACCCTGGATTCTTGAAATTCAAATTTCCCGGCAAAGTAAAAAGTAAAATTTTCCTTATTTTGGGTCATTAAGTGCTTATAACTTTTTGAAAACTCAATGGATCTTATTGAAACTCTTCCACTTTGTAGTCCTAATTGAGATGCGTCCGTAGACACCAAGATCGTAGGAATCCGTGCCGTCGTTTGGGCTGCAGTCGAATGGCAACCGAATCAATTTTCAAGTTAAGGGAGTTGCCTGTGACTAAGAGTGTCGGCCACCCGTTTGTTATCGGGACTTTAGTAGGATGTCATTTTCCTCGACCGGGGGTGGCTACCGCCACTCTTGATTCCAGAGCAAAACGGTCATAGGGTGTCTCATATTTTCTGAGTTAAGAAAAGTTTCGTTGCAGTTTGCTCAAAATATGGTATGATAGGTCAAAATCAAAAATCATATAAAAAAAATATATATTTTTTTTAGAAATCTTTAAAGCGCTCTAAAGGGCAGAGGTTCAAAAATTGGTAAAACGGCAATAGCATAGTCATATTTCAATGAAAATTAATAGTTTACAGCCTCTAGACAATAATGTTGTTCGTCCGGCCGTATCTTTAGCCGAAAAGCCGCAAACGGTCAATTGGTGTTCGGAAACCACCCTCCGGCGCGCCCTTTTGGCCTTGCTGTGAACTTGAACCTCGTGCTGCTAACATAGGGGTGCTAATATACATTCCAGCTGAAAATCCACGAGTTACGCTCTGATGGATGACAATTTCGGCCATTTTGCCGTATAACCCTGAGCGCCTGGCTTTCAACGATCATTTTTGGGGGAGGAGGGAGAGGTAAAAGATACTTATCGGGCGGAGTCCATGGATTGGACTCATTTTCGAATAATGCCTACTGAATTTCGCTGTCTATACCTGAAGCATTGCAGCTTTCTTGCATTAAGAAGACTTAGCACGTACATCTGCTTCTCTTTCCTTTGTTCTTTATTATCAAATGGATTAATATTCTTGGAGGGGGGGAGGGGGAGGACCCAAAATTATTCTCGATGAGTTGCTATTAACATTTACAGGACAGGGCGGTTGGAAATTTCATGTTCGTTCGTTCTTATTATCTTCTTCAGTCCTCTTGTAGATCTGGAAGGTCTGCATCATACATTATTTATTTTTATTTATTGTTCTTTTATCAAATTCTACCCTCACAAACAAACGAACAAACAAACAAACAAAATAACTCAAAGATGCCCGTTTATTTTTTTGTTTGCGAGAGTATAGAATTTGATAAAAATATACAAATAAATTTTCTTGAATATTTTTCTAGAGTTCAAAAAAATTCCAAATAGGTACTTACATTTTTTGTTTTAAATAAGGATAACGTAGCTAAGTCACTGTACGCATTTGATTAATTTATATTGTTCGCAGGATTTTAGCTATAGATCTCACCAAAAACTATGAAAACAATTTGGAAATTCATGGACAACTGTATACAATGTTCCTCTTGATCATTTCGATCTACTTGTTTTGGCTCAGTCGCAATGCTCTAAAGGCATGACAGAGGCACAAAAATGACTATAAAATGATCACAAGAAAGTTGCAAGTGAACTTAAAGAAGAATGAAGGTCAAAGATCGATGCACTTTTCATGGGACCGGTTTTTCCTTGTCTACGTTTTATGCCACGCACTTCTTTTAATTTTTCCTGGAGGTGTTTTCAAATGCAAGGTTTAGTGAAGAAACAGCACATCTGCAACAAATTACGCACGAGCACAGTCAATCTAAAAACTTAAAGAGGAAAACTGGAAACTGGATGCAGTCGTTTTTAGCAAAAATTTAAAAAAATCTCAACTCATGCTTTTAATTTCGCCATTTTTGATGAGATCTTAAACACCCGCACAGTTGAGTTTTAATCGTTTTTTAATCGAAGACTGAGACAATGCTCGCTTCAGAGAATTACAAAGCACACCTCATGGCGAACATGACGTAACAAGAGACGACAGAACCGACCGAAGTGAAGATTGAGCACATACTGAACTTGATTCCTAATATCTTTTATGTGTCCAGCGAGAATTAGGTGGCACTTTGATTGAAATTGCCAGATTTTGCGGGTTAAACAGGTTTTTATAGGGAACCAATCGACGATGTTACTATTTATTTTGCAGTTCGGCAATAAGTGACGGTAGGTTAATGTTGACACAGCTGCCAGGTTGGAATAGAATGAAATGGCTTGAGTCTTGATAGGCAAAGTAAGAGGTTGAGGTTCAAAGTTATTCCTCCTTTTACCTTTATTTCTGATCAATTATGACCAAAATCAACTGATAGGTGGATACTCTTCGGAGGTTCATTAAGTAGATAACTCTATTTTCTGACAATTTATGATACATAATCCATACTAGAGACATATCAATAGAGGAAAGAGCAAGTTTTAATCGAAAAACTTCCTAATTTTTGAGTAAGATTTTTTTCGATATGAATATTTATGAGGGAAAGGCTTAGCATTTTTTAATACAATTTTGAGAGAATGTTCTCCTTATAAGGGCAAAAATTTCACAGAGAGTGTATTGGGACACTTTTGGATGGATACCTGTTTCAAAAATAAAATACTTGGTGAGGAAATCTCTCCATGATTAAGTATTCATATTATTGATGGTGGTGGAACTAAACAGACCTATTTCGTTTTAGGTTGCTCTTAAATTTTCTATTATGTATTTATGTCTTAAAAAACAACCAGTGATAGTTATTGCACAATTTCGTGCGTGCTTTTTTGAGTCCATCCAAAAGGCTCGCTGATGTGAACATGCAATAATAGGTCAAATTCTTTTGAAAATTTTAGCACATGCGAAAGTTTTATTTCAAAATTTGAACAGACGCTCTCCTAGTTTTACCTCTAATATAGGAGTGCATTATTATTTTGGTAGAAAAATGAAATTTATCTTATAAATTTTGAAACTAGAAAATACAAGTACCTCGGTTCCGGTCTCTCATATTTTTGCTCTTGCCTCTTTCTAGAATAAATCCCAGAGAATGTTTTCGCAACCACGCAGTGCAGCATAGAGCGGAGCATTGCGAGTTCACGCTTCGCACCATCGCGCCTTCAAGATTGCAGACGCAACACGGACATCCATCAAGCACGAATAGTCGTATCTCTGCGCCGTTGCCGAGCGTGTCATTTCCCTTAGTGTATTTCCATACCGTGTTTATGTCAATTTGTTGTATTTGTAGTGGTGTTTCAAGGGCCCCTTAACTAGTGAAGCCAAATATAGGGGAGGCGTAATCGGACTTTTTCTTTAAAGTTTTTTTCTTCTGAATTGGAGAGGCACCTCGCCAGCGTCGTAGAGCGGATCATTGCGGGTTCACGCCTCGAGCCATCGCGCCTTCAATTGTGTGGACGCAACACGGACATCCATAAAGCACGAATAGTTGTATCTCTGCGCCGTTGCGTTGCCACGCGTGTCCTTTACCTTGGTGTATTTCCATATCGTGTTATGTCCATTCGTTGTATTGGTAGGGGTGTTTCAAGGGCCACTTAACCAGCACAGCCAAATATAGGAGAGACTTAATCCGTCTTTCTTCTTTAACTTTTCTTCTGAATTGGAGAGGCACCTCGCTAGCGTCGTAGAGCGGAGCACTGCGGGTTCACGCCGAGCGCCAACGCGCCTTCAATTGTGTGGACGCAATACGGACATCCATCAAGCACGAATAGTTGCATCTCTGCGCCGTCGCAACGCGTATCCTTCCTCATGCTCTTTTTCCGTTTGTCTCATTCACAGTGAAGCTCCAAAAACTACTTAAGCAACACGGCCGAGGATAGGCGAGACGTAATTCAACCTCGTTTTTTAAATTTTCTCCCGCATTGGAGCGAAATTTCGCCAGTATGCAGCACCCCCAAATGATAATTTTTGATCGTAAACATTATGTCCCGTTTCATAAAATAGAGATTGTTGATTTTCCTATTCTAAAATAAAATATGGCAAGGGCTTTGCAACGTCGCAAAGTGAGATACGAGTATTTATAATTTTACCATTCACACATTAACTGTGTAAAAGATGGATGAATGGCGCCAAACTGCGGGCCTTCATAGTATTACTCGACCGTCGATCCGGTTTGTGTTTTTAAACTCCTAAATCAATCGCATAATGTTTTAAAAAAACAACAAATTGACGGACTCACACTCTCTGATTTAACTGACCTTAGTTAATCACGCAACCATACATACATACATACATACATACACACACACACCCTCCCCAATAGACTTTAATCGAACAATAATATGTTTACCTCTCAAATATTTGTGCATTCAAGATAACTTCACTGCGTGGAAATCAATCATTACTGATGCGAGGTCCTCATGTTGTTTGAAATTAATTAACAAGGGTATAAAAAGTAGGAAGTAGTTTTATTGTATGTTTTCCCAGTTTTACTTTTTATTTTCTTAAGAGATAACTAGTAATAACGTAAGTCCAAGTAATTCAGGTAAGTAGGTCATCTAAGTTTGACCCGAGTCTGCATGATTTTTGAAGTGCGCATGATACGGAAGTCCCGGTTTCATTTATCAAACTTTATATGTTAAATCTAAAAAATGTTTTTGAATGTCACAATGAGTCAGGTTACATTTACCAAAAGTATTAGTTGGTCAAAACTCATCAAGAATTTTAATGGGTCATATCATACTCAGACGCATATTATTTAAACGACGAAAATCTACTAAGATTGGGAGTTTTGAAAAAAGACATTAGTACCCACAAATACATAAGTACACAATAGTTTAAGACTATTTTAATATGTTTTTAAAGACAAAATTTTGTTGGAAAATCCTTACAACTTCTCTACCTACATTATAAAGCTTATGACATTTCTTAGATTTGGTTTCTTGCTTTTAATATATTGGTCATTCGTCATTTTGAAATGATGTTGAAATAATAAAAGATGCATAGGTAGTCCTGACTCATCACAGGATTTTATTATACAGGTTTGCAGTGCACGTATGACAAACAAAAATACAATTTTGAATTTCTATATTTTAACAGATGATTTTTTTTGATTCAATATGAGTCTGAAGTGGGATGCAATAATTTAATGTAACGATGCTTTAATGACGGGGAGTTTTCACATTTTTCTGAATTTCTTATCCCTATTCTTCTTCGTCCTCCTCCTCTTCTCCTCCCTGTCCCTAATCCTTTCCTTTTCCCAATTCCTCTTCATCATTTTCTTCTTCTCGGTACTCTCCCTTTCCTTTTGTCCTTTACCTTCCCACAATGTCCAACGCGCTTTCGTCTACCTTACTCCATCAGACATCCCACACCTTGAGGCACCAGATACACCGTACACCTGCTTGCTAGACGCGAAAAAAGGGGACCCAATGCTACTTCGAGTGAGTTACGAGCGGCGAATAGGAACCTCAGTGGCTCCGGAGATTGCCAAACACGGCCTAAGGCCCACTCGCCACTCAACACGCGCGTCTTGCTCGCAGGTGTATCCAGCACTTCAGTCCGGCTAACAAGGGTGTCCGCCCATGAGTAACCCTTCATCGAGGCATTTGCGGATCCAGCAATTTGGCAATACTGTTTTCTCCATTTAAACCTACGGAAATGCATCGATTCTAGGAGGAAGCAGGTGCATCGACAAGAATCGATTATTTAACATAGGCTCAAATGGAGGGACCCGAGTGTTGCCGAATTGCTGGATCCGCTTCTGCATGGAGGAGCTGCGGTATGGAGTCCTCCTCCCTCTCGGTAAGGATCTCCTCCGGTGTCTTCCCCCGGTTGCCCATGTACTTGATGACCATCTCGAGTGGGAGGTCGGCCAGGGGGTGGCTCCCGTCTCCGTCGCGGAGCATCTTGCGGGCGACCATCCTGTCCGTGGCGGCCTTGAGGTCGTAGGCGAGTCCGAGTTGCTGGAGCCAGTCGATGACGCGGGTCGAAGCGTTGGGCCAAGCGCCTGCCTCCGAGGTGCGGTAGTCCCACGGGAAAGCGTGGTGGTAGTTGTGCCACCCCTCGCCCAGGCACAGCAGCGACACCCAGAACGACTCCACGGCAGCGATTTTCCTACCGAGGGGAGAGGATATTTAAAGTGGAAAATAGTGGTGATATACTGAAAAATAAAAATTACGGGCTATATAGACATAAGGACCCTTCCGAGCTCAAAAGCCGAAACTTCCGGGTGCTGAAGCCGTAGCTTCAACTGCTCCGGATTGTACGCCCGGAACTTTCAGCATCTGTCTGAGCTTAGAACGCGGACGGTATATCTATGGAGCTGTAAGTACGGCTTCCACGGCCGGAGTTTTTTTTCAGTGTGGTGACAGCAACTGTGCTCCGCCCAGAATGTTTGCACTGCTTGCACGGAGCAAAAAAAGTGATGTACCTAGAGAAAATGGCTCAAGAATCACATTGAGCGCATCGAGAAAGCCTCTAATACACCCCTAAATTCACAATTTGCGCAAAAAATATGCGTCAATTACGACACTCCGATTCAGGTGAATATTTCGTAAGAGAAGTCGTTCCATCCAAACCTTGCGCACTAGGATGCTGCACAATATTCAACATGGCTGACGCTTCGGCACGCAGAGCGTGAGGATGCACTAGGGTTTTTATCGACGCAAGGAAAATGTAAAAATAAGCACGCCGCACCACACCGATTGATAAAATCCCGTCTCGTTACGTGTTTTGGTGGGTTGGCGTCGGCCATGTTGAATATTGCTTAGCATCCCAATGCGCAAGGGTTGAATGGAAAAACTCCTCTTGGGAACAATTCACCTGTGCCGTAGTATTGTTTTTGTGGCGGGAGGCTTAAAAGAAAACGCACATTTTTTATGCAGATTGTAAAGTTAGGAGAGTAATTTAGACTTTACCGATGCGCTCATTGTGGTTTTTGAGAAATTTTCCATAAGAACAACTCTTATTTTTGCTTTAGCAAAAGTTTTCAACAGGCCCATTGAATTTTTACTAATTGTCCTATTGGTAGGAAAAGAAAAATTAGGGTCCAGACACAATTAATCGGATGAAATGGTCATTGGGATTCAGCTAAAACAAGCTGCCGTTTCACCGTGATTAGTTTCCGACGAGCCTCAAGGAGTTACAGTTCAGACAAAACTCGAATTGAGGTCAATAAATGTTGGGTTGGACACGTGTTAAATTATAAAGCATTATATAGCGTATTACCAACGAAATACGTGAATATTTTATTGAGAAAATTAAGATCAATAAAAAAGAACTCGTTGCAAGAAAAGTAACTGTTTCGTACTGAAAATTAGGTTAGCAGGTATCAGCTGATACAATTATGCTTTAGCTACACGTGTCTTTTTTTCCGTCCAACGTCTGATAATTCGAAAGTCTGATAGCAAAAACTCAGTTAGAATCGATTTAGAAATTGGCATGGCAAAATTTCATCGTTTTAGCGGCTCTGGTGCTTGCACTAGAGCTGCTATTCCGGACGGTCCCAGCTGGGGAGTATCAATGCAGCATGTTACATTGTAGAGACCGCGCGTTGGTTGATGGGAATCGGCGCCATTTTCGGCTATGTTCCTTGTCATGACTTTATTTTATTGCATACTGTTTTATTGTTAGTCAATGCTATGTTGTGTATTGTATTTTTGGAATCATGGTGATACAGTCAACAATTCAAAACTTGTTTGT